ACACAATATGTAGAATTGTGTTTTTGTTTAATTATTCGTGGAGAAACAGAGCTTTACAGATCAGTTGATTAAATCAACAAATAGACTAGTGGACTAAATCGTAAGTCAAGGACAGCCCTAAAGATATGATTTAGAAGTTTATACAACAACAACTACTACTACTACTATTACTACTACTACTTTAACTATTACTACCAATATATGCAAGTGCAATGATCCCTTTGGGCAACGGTAATGGAGCAATTAAGTTCTCTCAATTTGCATGTCTGCTCGTGTCCTGAATAATGTGGCTTTTATCAAAGTGTCGATTAAGGATAAGCGCCTGGTTAAGTTTCCAATGGATGCAGATGATGCGTGGTGGCCTGGTGTCTTGTTTCAAAAAGGACATGACTCTCCAGGATGAGGGTGAATCATTCCCTGGCATGCCATGTCAAGTGGTTCAACTTGATGTCTTCTTTATAAACAGATTGACTCAGAGAAATGACCACACCCCCCACAGGCCTGCATAACTTTACTGGTCCTTGCTTTATCGCCGTCCTCTGAACCACATATCATCTGAAAAAAAAAAAAGAAAAGAAAAGAAAAACTGAGATACATTTCTTTTTTTTTGTCCTTATGTTTTGAGTTCATTGGTGCTGTAAACAGTTCCCAAACCTTGACATAACAGGCTGGAAATCGTTCCAATGAGTGATTTGCTTTGTTCTTTTGTGCTCGCAACACAGAAAAAAACTCCTTGAGTAAAACATGCTTTGCAAAAATACAGTGACATGTGCCGCTGAAAGAATTACCAGCAAAGACTTGAAAAAAAGGCCATTATTATTCAGATTGAAAAGGCTCATCTCTATAACTGCTCTTTCCAACAAAGACATTCCTAGAGGTACAGTAGCACCCAACACACTGCTAACAATAATATTCTAAAAGCCTTCATAAATAGAAAAGGTCTAACTCACAGGTATATCTTGAGGCAAAGCTGGGTAAACAAAACCTTACCCACAAGCACATATAGCTATTGTTTCAAAGCATGAATTATTGAATTGTGGAAGAGTAGATGCTTGAGCACTGAATCCCTAATGGTGTGTTAGAAAAACAAAAAAAGGTTTCAAAAGAAAGAAATATAAAATCTATTTGTTGTTTTCTTAAAGCAATAATATCAGTGAATTATGAAAGAGCTGGAGAGAGAGAGAGAGAGAGAGAGAGAGAGAGAGAGAGAGAGAGAGAGACTGAACAAAGCAGGCAGTTCATGGTATCCATTAGAAATGGAATAATCTGATCAGCAACACTAGCATGTGTGAGCCTACTATGTGTGTTGCATGCTTGTGTGTCATGCTGAAGTGCATGCTTGGATGAAGACATGCTCTTGTGTTGCTTGCATTTTTTTTTTTGTGTGCGCGTGTGTGTGTTTGTCTCTGAGTGTGTGTTTTTGGGAAATAGACGTCATCATATATCTAATTCCACAGCGATGATACACTAGCTCCCTGCTGTCCCATTATCCATCGCTCTCTTCCACCTCTCCCTCAATGGCCCTAAACTCCATAAACCTTTTCAAGAATCGAAAAGGTCTATTCAATTGAATGTGTTTATGATAAAGAGTAAATGTGCGTTCGTATTCCGGGGGATAATGTGGGAAGACATTGTGTGGGCAGGAGTTCTGGGTAATCTGAGCACCAAGAAATGGGTATTGGTATTTTCCTGTGTTTGTGAAACAATGAGTGTGTGTGTTTGTGAGACAGAAAGGATCTCTGAGAGACTCTGAGAGGAAGAGAGATAGCAAGAAAAAGGAAAAAATATGTGAGCCCATGTGTTTTGTTTTTTTCTTCATTTTGTTCCATTGTGCATACATGTTTTTTGCCCTTTTGTGTTTAATTTGCATGCGTCTATTGTGTGACTTGTGTAGTAATTTGTCAGCACAAGTGTCTGAGATATATAGGGATCATTCCAGCTTTGTTTTCTTCGTTGTTTGTGTGTGTGTGTGTGTGTGTGTTGTTGATAGTGGTTGCAGGAGAAGATAAGGGGTGAAAGGGTAATATTTTTAACATTTTTAGTCTATTTACTGTATGTGTGTGTGTGTGTGTGTGAATGCCTGTTTCTCTGTTGGCATGTACTGTATGTTTTCGCAGCTGCTGCAGATTGTAACTAACTGATAAGAAGGTTAGAAGCATGATCTCATGATTTCCACGGCTACCGCACTGATACACATCGTAGACCACTTACTGAGAACACAAAACCCTAACACACAAACCCACACTCTTACCCACGAGGCATTTTGACCCTATATGGTTGCGTTTGGCTGGCTTTAGGACTCAGACACGGTGGCATACCTCTGAATTTCTCAGCCTCAGAGTCTTGAAAATACTTGTTGTTTCAAGAGATGGTACAGTGTTAGGTATCAGCATTGTTTTTCAGGGGCATCAAGGGCGGATGTTTTTCTTTAAAGTTTGGTACTATCCCCCATATCTCACTCTTTCACTCTGCATCAAAGTAGCACAGCAAAAATACAAACCTGGCAACTCTGCACTGACCCTACCGGTAACACTGCGACAAGACTGTTTGAGATAGTTAAGAACATTCGTGGAGACATTTCACCAACACAGACATGTTCCCACCATAACCAAATATACACAGATGAGTGGACTACTCTTCCTTGTTGGTTTCACGGAAGTCGGCTCTTCCGATCATGTCCATTAATGTTAATGATAGAATCCAATTTCATTTTATTTTTCCTCCCACATCCAGTTCTCTTCTTTCGTAACCTCTGTCATTTATCCATCAATCTCTCGATCCTTGATAGATCAGCTTATATTGACACTGACACTTGAACATGATTGGCCACTTCTGATGACATCACTCTTAGCAAATATACAGACATTTATTGGTTGGGTTTGTCTGAAGTGGGCAGGCCCATCAGCGCGAGCGAGGGAATAAATGTGTTTTTTCGCCCCCATTGCATATTTACTACATGGCGTAAATCGAAACCTGGACATTGTTCATGCTACAACCATCCATTACTGATGACAGCATTCAGGCAAGGCCTTTATGAGGTGGGCTGTTAGGATCAGTAATTCACTCTGTCAGGAGATCAGAAGAGAGCAGTGGGGGTAAAGAGGAGGAAACGCAAGAGGAAGGGAGAAGGTTTAGGAGGAAGGAGGAAGGCGAACAGAAGTTGGGAGAGTAGAGACTTGGATAGGCATGGATGGAAAATAGTTCTGAGACAAAGCTTTTTGTTCATGGGAAAATTTCTCTCCATCGCTCCCCTTTTTCTCCCCACCCGCCCTTTTCTCTGGCTATCATGTTTCTTGTGCCAATCAATATTTTATAGCTGTCGCTTCAGAGCAATGAACCCCCCCCACCCCCACCCCCAGCTCTCTGAATGACAGATGAGGGTGAGAACGGGTGTTGGGGGCGCAGTGAAAGTGAAAAGCGGGAGGGAGGGGTAGGAGGGTGTAAAGTGCTGGAGAGACATAAAGCAACAAGAAATAGCAATAGAAAAAAAGATGAAGGCAGTGCAGCAAGTAAAAAAGAGACTGACGGAGAAATGGGTGAATATGACACATGGATAAATAACCAAGAGCGGGAGAAAATTTACCAGTTAATGAAATTATGCTGTGGAAATGTCTACCAATTTACATACTCTCAGAGATTTAATTGCAAAACTACGAGAGAAAATGTCAGCTTCATGACATCAAAGTGGGGATGCTGCCTACTCATTTCCCCCCTGTTTGTGTCTTGTTGTTTTACCTAAGCTGCTTTTAGCTTGTATCCCACAGCACTATTCTCCAAGATAAGGGCGACACACACAGTTAGGGTAAAGGAATGCGTTTGTGTGTATGTCCGCAGGCTTATAAATGCACAATTATATGTTGCTGTTTTTTTTAATATTCGGGGTTTGGGTTAGTAAGAGTGTTTATGTGTGACTGTAGCGATGACACATTAGGGATGAAAAACCTTGAAGCTGTGTCAAAAGCATTCTATGTGTTACATTATTTTTGCATGAGTCACAGCTCTCCAGGTGAGGCAATCACACAGAAGCACATACACACATATAAGAAGATCCAGACGGTCCTAGTGAAACTGGATGATGATGGAGAGGGAAATCACAAGTTGGGAGAAATAGTGTGTGTGTGTGTGTTTGTGTGCATGAACTGTTAATATATGTGCATTGTGTTTGTATACATGCGTGTCTATCGGAGGGAAAGAAAGAAAGGCCCCTTTCCTGTCCCTCCCACCTGCTCTTGTAATCCTCTGTGTTTTGGTGACCTTGGCAACCTGGTGACAAAACCTCCTTGGTGTCCCTTTGATTGAGGCCACGGGTGGGCGTCGAGTTTGGACATACTGAAAGGACAGCGGAGGAGAGAAAGCAGGTTGGAGGAGGATAAAGTTCTTGTGTTGGTCGAATGAGCACTCGGTCGGTTTCCGATTTTTAACCAGCATTAAAAACTTTCTCTGCAAAACAAACGCATTTGAATAGAATCGCAGCAATTAGTGGATTCAATCGCTAAACAAATGGTTCAAATGTTTATGTCATGGTCAATTGTTTGCGAGCTTTCACCTGTAAATTAGCACTATTGATCAATAGCAACTCATCTTAGCAAGACTCAGCTAAGGGATGTGTGTGCCTTGGCTCCTCTGTGAGCCTCTGCAACCTGAGGTTACCCATAACGCCCTTCTCTGCGAGTGAAAATCATGATGGCCAGAAGGTTTCCACATATGGACACGGCAGTTAGGTGCTGTTTAATTTTGCATTTTATGGCTCAGTAGAAGAAAATTGTACTCTGTCCAGGTCACCGGCTTGAGACATGGTGATTGTTAGTGATCAAATGAGTACGGCATTGTCCTATACACACTGAGTTCAGCGGACAATGCTGCTCGCTGCTGTGAATCACAAAACTGCATTTTATTTCCCTCAACCAACTTCATTCCCTGTTGAAAGTTGCTAAATATCTGTGAAAATACAGAACAGTGACTGTCACAATTCTCACCTTTCTCTTTTCCTCTTCCCGCAGTGAGAGATGATGATGATTTCCTGAGTCTCAGCGAACTCCCGGAAACCTTCCCCTCCGACCCTCCGGAGCCCTTACCTCACTTCCTGTTCGAACCCGACGAAGGCTACATTGTCAAGAATAAACCTGTCAATCTCTACTGCAAAGCGACGCCTGCCACGCAGATTTACTTCAAGTGCAACAGTGAGTGGGTCCATCAGAAGGACCACACTGTGGAGGAGAGGGTGGACGAAAACTCAGGTGAGTGAAGTCACGTACACACAAACATAAAAGGATTTCTAATCAGAGATTGCCATAGAAAATGGACATTTTTGACAGACAACATTGGTGGCACAATAAAATAAACACTGACAAGTTAAGTGTAACTGCATGCCAGTTCACACACAGGAGCACTGTTTGACCCCCCCCCCCCCAAAAAAAAAATTACTGTTGAAAAGAGTTAATTTGCACGAATGCATGGGGATTACTTTTACTCTTACTATTTATACGCTGCAACACGTGCTCATTCCAACTCGTCACATACTGTCAGACTCCTTGGCGTTACTCTCTGACGCGCTCGGTCGCAGTAAGCGCGTGGTTAACATTGTCCTTTCAATCCAAAAAACACTTTCCTGAAAGTCCTGTGTATGTTTCACCCATTTGCCTCCCTTCCCACCCTGTGTGGCTTTTTTTTTCGGTCTTTATACGATGTCCATTACACTTCCAGAGCATTTTCTGTTTCATAATGGGTTTACATTGCAGTATACTTTAAAGAGTGGTGCGTTTCACAAAGATGCTAGAGGGTGCCTTGTGCGTCGGTGTCAGACGCTGGTGTCCCGGTGAGCAGAAAATTAAAAAAGATATTGTTACAAATCTAAGGTGCACAGGTGTAAATTAAAATTAAGCCATTTTGCCCCCTCTGAATTTAAGTTGACCTCTTAGCCTGCGTCTCTTTTGATGGGCCTAACAATGATGAGATTGGGCTCTGTGTGATATCAAATTGTCACACATCCAGAAAATGTGGCCAACACTGGTGCACTGTCAGCAAACAGGTTAAACCTATTATTACGCTGTTTACTGTTCTTGCTGAAAGCTAGGTCACATGTCAGACGTGTGTACATGCCATGGCTGTACTGCGATGTTCACAGGACAGTTTAATAGGATCCACAGTCATGTACTGGACTGCAGCCAGTTCTGCACTTGTCACTTGACAGCACACTGTATTATTCCGCTGACTAGTTAATGAAGAATCATGCTGTTGCTTTGGCAGGATGACAAAGTCCGACACAACCTGGTTTCTAAGACTTGAGGTTGACATGAGCTCAGCTTATGGGTCTCCACCTGCTTGTCAATGAGCCTGAGTCCCCAGAGTTAGTGATTAAACAGAGGCTAAAAACAGTTTGAGAGTATATAGAGTCTGCTGAAGGAACTACACAGCGGGGCACAGTAGCACAAGTCAGCATGTCGGTTTTTCTTTTCTTTAATTAAAGTGAACAAAATGCACTCTGTGATATTTGTTTGTGTGAATATTGCGCCACAGTTGAGAGGAAGCAGAACTGTTGCTTCCGTCTCAACCCATGGTGACACAACAACTTGCCCACCAAAGATCTCCCCTTGTATTACAAAGCAGACCCTAGAGCCAGACATTCTGCTGTGTGTACATACAGTATCTGTGTGTGTGTGTGTGTGTGTGTGTGTGTGTGTGTGTGTTCTTTGGAGTCCTGATTTGCTGAGTGGGTCTGCTACAGTTCTGAACCCAAGATAGAGAGAGAAACAACTGAGCAGCACAGTTTGATGTTCCCCCTGGTTCGGCTGTCACACATGAATAGTCAAGGAAGATGAGAATAAATGTAACAAAACCTCCAGGAAGTGAAACAGCAGGCACAAATATAGATATGAATGTAAATATGTTGCAGAATACGATGTGAGAACTTTTAGAACAAAAATCTGAACTTGTATGTTTAAATTCTCACACACTTCTGAATGTGAAGTCACAGAATAAAAATTCACTATGTGTAGATTGAAATTTACATGGAAACAATGATAGCTGCTTACCAATATTTGGGCATGTATATATATATTTTTATTTACTTGAGTCCATTTTCCAGTAAAACCACAGCTCGGTGAAAACAACCTCTTGAATGATTCACTGCAACTTCACAGATGTCTCCTGCATCACCGAGTGAGGAATCTGCACGCCTTGACTTTTTCAACACTTCTTGCGAAAGGTGTGTTGAAAAAGGAGGTAAAGAAGAAGTATAGGAGCTGACCCAACAGAAGACAAAAAAAAAGAAGAAAAGTTTAAAAACAATCAGAAATCAGGAGACAAAGTGCTCGTTTGCTCTGCTGTCCTCCAAGTCTGTGAAGTTGAAATGTGACGTTTTGGTGGCGTGCCTTTTTTTACTCCATCGCATCACTAATCAACCAAAACAAAGCTATTGGAAGAAACTTAGACTGGGCTGGTTTGATATAGTGGATCTAACTTCCCTGACATGGAGCACAGCAGAGCAAAAGAGTGCTTTGTCTCCTGATTTCTGATTGGGTTACCCAGCCCCCCCCCTTTGAAATTTGTTTTTCCTTTCTGCCTCAGGTTCTGCATTTCAGATAAAAATAAAACCTAATGATTGTGTCTCTTCTAGGTGGCACCTGTACATTATATTTATATTATAGACATGACTAGTTGATTGAAATCATTGACTACAGCAAAGTGGGATGAACGTCTTTCTTCCACAGCCTTTCGGGGTTCTCTTTAAGTAAAATATGAGAGATGATGTATTTGTATCTACAATACGTATCAATCATCGTCATCCCTCTCTCGTTGTTTTTCCACCCATCTCTCAATGTTCATTACTGACATCACACGCAGCTGCAAGTCATTTATTAGTCTCCCAACAGCCGTTCATTTGCTAGCGTCTGGATTCCAGACAATGCGTTGCAGGAAGGAACTTCTGTTCAATTAATGACCCGTGGATTCAGGCTCTCGTACTGTATGTGATGGACATAGTGAGGTCTTTTAAGGAGCAGGATCACTTAGCCAGCAAACAAAACATCTGTGTGTTTTGAACATCAATTCCAATTTATTCTTTACTTACATTTCAATGTCTTGCAGCCACATTAACCAAATATATCACATTTTGTGTCTTAAGTTTCATCATTTTACTAACACTCAGGCCTGGTTAAACATGGCTAAGGTTTTAGTTTTCAACTTCTTTAAATATGTTATAATTTATGATTGAATTACGTTTTGCAAAGCCATCACAATGTTTTTTATTTAAATTTAAAAAACGATTGGCTGCATGCTACTTTGTACTGCTCCAGGAAACATATATCTATAACACAGCATCATCCATACAGATATTTACATGAATATGAAATGAATAAACAGATGAACTGGGGACATTATGCAATATCAAGAGCTGTTGAGATTTTCCAGGAAAATGTCTCTTTGCTCTTTAATTATTCAAATGTGTCCATGCTTTCTCTTTTCTTTTTATATTGAATTTGCAATGACCAAAGTTTGCTGCAAATGTACTATTTAGATATGTTTTTTCAGAGCTTAACAAATAGTCATGCAGTGAACAATAACAAAGAAAAACCCAACAACAAATCCTATTTATATCCTATTTAAATGAGACCACCAACCTTCCCGTTTGCTCTCATGCAAAGCATTTAGGTCACCTTTGAACAATGTGATGAAGAGATTATGAATACTCGATATATATTATGCAACATAGTTGTAGGGAATCACATAGAAAGCTGGTGTAGGTCTGTGCCTGGTGAATGCACAGTGTGTGCGCACTGTTTATCTGTTTATCTGTGTGAAAACCTAAACTCCGTAAGCTGTTTTCTCCTCTTTGTTTCCTGCTGTTTCACAGAAACAGCTAGAAGCCATGGCCCCCATACTGCTTTTATTATCTCTGTCTTCTCGCTCACTCCCCCCCTCCCTCTTGGTCCAATCCTCTTCCTCTCCTTTTTCCCTTCTCCTTCTCTTCCTTTCTCTTTGCTCCATGCTGTTTTGTACTCTACTCTAATTTCCACCGACTGAAATCGGAGAGAGCAGAGGTAGATAAAACCTGAGCGTGAAGAAAGCAGTGCACAGAAGTAGGGGATGATGGAGGGATGCCGATGGAGGGTGCCTTTGAGAGGGCTGGAAAGGCCAACAGATATCAGGGAGTCACGCTGAGGAGAAAGATGATAGGAATCCTGCTGTGCTGTTCTCTTTCTCGCTCACTCCCACTCTCTCTCTTTCTCCCCAAGTTTCTCATGTCATCTCATCATTTGTTTTTATCAACAAAAGGAAATTCAGCTTGGAACATTGTCTGTTTGAACCTGTGGATGAAGGCAAAAGAAAAGGAAAGTAAAAATGTACATACAAAAGCTAGAACTTGGATGAAACAAGTCTGAAAGTTGTGTGTGTGTGATGCCTTGCACCAAAATACATTCATAAGGTTTTTCAAACCGAATGATGGAAACACATTTTTTTTTTCTCGGCACACGATGTAAAAGGAAAGAAAAGATGATAGCAAGGATGGATTTATGAAGGTTGAATGAAAGTAACATTGTGGAAGGGGCAAAACTGAAAGGACAATGTTTCTTTTTTGTATCATGTGACACAAAACTAACACTTTATATGAAGCTTAAAAGTAATGCACTATAATTTGTAAACAACCCATGTAATCAATGTGTATGTATTTCACGTAATTGTGAGCCAGGACAGCTTATGTAGTATAAAGAGCTACAAAAGCTGTGTAGGGATGAGGTCGGGACTTTTACCCAGGAGATCTTTTTTTGCATCCTGTGTGTGTAATTGGCACGTCATTTCTGTAGTTATTTTATCCCAAACCTAACCAAGTAGTTTTGCTGCAGAGGCTTGCCCAGGCTCAGTGATCGCTCGTGTTGCTGGACATTCATGGGAAAAGCACGAAAACGAACAATAACGTCTCACAAGATTTTATATTAACATTAACAATGGCTCCATTTCATTTAGTAGTCACTACGTCCGAGTATTGTGCATGATAGAAAGGATTAATGAGACACTTGCAGAAACAAGCTATCATTTACATTATTTGTTGCTCTTCATGCTAGGACATGAAGAACGCCTTTTGCTTGTAATTTGAAGTCAAAGTTGATGGGATGTAGGGCTGTCACTTAAATTAGGGATGTTATGAACATCTTGTTTTCTGTTTAATGGATGGAAAGGGTAGCTACATGTGAGCCTCATGGCAGCTCAATAAATTACTTGTATTCAACTGAGCCTCATC